GCCAAGTGGCAACATCGATGGATTCAAGCGTGGCAACGGTAGTGAGGTTGGCCCAGGATTGGACAGTGTTTTGTTCTGCTATGCATAAGGTCGCTATGGGTGGGTACCGACTCGATGGCATCTAGCAACAACAACAACATTGGATTACTAAGGAGCTCTGGTAGCAGAGTGGTTACGAATCAGGCTGTTAACCTCACAGTCAGCAGTTCGAAACTACCAGCTGTTCTGCAGGAGAAATATGAGGCTTTCTGCTCTAGTAAAGATTTACAGCCTCGGAAACCCTGTACATGGTCACTATGAGTCAGCACCGACTCCACGGCACATAACCACCACCACCATTGGATTACTATTGGTCTTTTCAGCAATATTCTCTGTTGTCAGATGTCTGTAAGCCTACTGTGTATTTTATGGCATTTTCTTATCTGTCTTTAATCTTCACTTCAGCAAGTGAGGAATACATTTGAATCCTGAGTATACATACATTTTTACTGCTTAGGAACTTCTATACCAAATTCATAAAATTTAGTTGGAAAATAACCCTTCCAGATTCTATAGAGTGAACCCGTGTGTCACAAAGACTGATTGTAAATAGTGTCATCAAGGTCTAGAATTTTAAATTTTGAAAAAGACCCTAAAGTCAACGGAGTTTTAAAAATTTTATATCTTTCAAGTCATATGTGTCTAACAAAAACAAAACAAAGAACAGTAACAGCAAGAAGAAGAGCATGGTATTTATTGCATGTAGACTGCTGTGGTCACCACTCATCTGCCAGGTTGTCATACTATGGTGGCTGTGTTGTTTTGATGCTGGAAGTTATGTCTCCAATATCTTAAATATGAGCAAGGTTACCCATGGTGGACAGCAGAGCTTCCAGACTAAGACAGACTAGGAAGAAGGAAAGGCAGACTATTTCTGAATGGTTAGCTGCTGAAAACTTTATGAATAGCAGCAGGGTATTGACTGAAATCCTGCTGGAAGAGAAGCTTCTCAGGTTGGAAGAAACTCAAAATACAACCAAGGAAGCCCTGCCTCCTTAAAGTAGAGTTGTCCATAATGATGTGAATGGAGTAGAACTTTTGGGACCTTCATTTGCTGATTGAGTAAAACTCAAAATGAGAAGGAACAGGTGCAAGCATCCATTAGTAATCGAAACATGGGATGTACTAAGCATGAATGTAGGAAAATTGGATATGGAATACATATAAAGATTGGTATCTTAGGGATTAGTGAGCTGAAATGGACTGGAATTGGCCATTTTGAATCAATCACAGTATTTGCTATGCTAGGAACAACTGAAGAGGAATGCTATTGTATTCATTGTCAAAAAGAACATTTCAAGATCTATCTTGAAGTACAATGCTGTCTATGATTCAATAAGATCCATACACCTACAAGGAAAACCAGTTAATGTCACTATTATTCAAATTCACATCTTCTGCTGAAGCCAGGGAAGTTGAAATTGGAAAATCCTACCAGCTTTTTCAGTCTGAAATTGATCAAGCATGCAACCAAGATGCATTGATAATTATTGGTGATTGAATTGTGAAAGTTGGAAGTAAAGAGGAATAATTCGTATAGGAAAATATGGCCTTGATAGTGGTAGAAACTATTCTGGAGCTCCCATGATACTGTTTTCTAAGACCAATGACTTCTTCATTGTGAATACCTTTTTATCAGCAACATGAAAAGCAATTATAAACAAGAACCTCAACAGATGAAATTCAGAGGAATCAAATTGACTATATCTGTAGGAAGAGACAAGGGAAAAGCTTGGTATCATCATCCAAAACAGGACCAGGTGCAGACTGTGGGACAGATCATCCATTGCTCATATGCAAGGTAAGGCTGAAGCAGAAAAAAATTAAGTCCATGAAAGTCAAAATATGACCTTGATATTCAGATGATACAACCATGCTTGCTGTAAGTAAAGAGGACTTAAAATACCTACTGATGAAGACCAAAGATAACAGGATTGCACCTCAGTGTAAAGAAAACAACTCCTCACAACTAGATCAATAAATAACATGATGAATGGAGAAAAGATTGAAGTTGTGAAATACTTCATTTTGCTTAGATCCATAGTCATTGCTCATGGAAGCAGCAGTCAAGAAATCAAACTACGTATTGAGTTAGGCAAGTCTGCTACACAAGACCTCTTTAAAATGTTCAAGAGAAAAGATACCAGTTTGAGGACTAAGGTATCCCTGACCCCAGCCATGGTATTTTCAATATGCTTGTGAAAGTTAGACAGTGAATAAGGAAGACCACAGAAGAATTGATGCATTTGCATTATGGTGTTAGAGAAGAATATTAAAAGTACCATGAACTGCTAGAAGAACAAACAAATCTGTGTTGGAAGAAGTACAGCTGGAAGCCAGGATGACAAGACTTCTCTCATATTGTGGACGTGTTATCAGGAGGGACCAGTCCCTAGAGAAGGACCTTATGCTTGATAAAGTGGAAGGTCAATGAAAAAGAGGGAGACCCTCAATCATGTGGATTGGCATAGTGGCAGCAGCAATGGGCTCAATGGGCAGTATGTTCTGTTGTGCGTGGGGTAGCTCTGAATTGGAACCAGCTCATGACACCTAATAACAACATCATCACTCACTGCAACACATGAAGGGTTGGGGAATTATACTAGAATGGGATTGTGCCTTTCAACTGTTTCAGGCATTGTAAATGTAAAATAGTTTTATTGCTAGAGTTCTGTTTTAAATCGCTGCTGCTGTTAAGTGCCTTCGAGTCAGTTCCAACTCATAGTAACCCTTTGTAGGGTTCCCAAGGAGCAGCTGGTGAACTTGAACCACTGACCTTATAGTTCAAACCGACCTTGAAGTCCAGTGCATAAACCCACGGCACGAGTACTAGTTTAATCTCTATGTGAAGAGAGATTCCACAGCATCATCATAGCTATACTCAGTATCAATGTATTTAAGATTTTGCACAGCCATTCTCTGAGCTTAAACCACCTTTCTCTATAACTGTGTTCTCATTATCTTAAAGAAAAGCGGAAGATGTATCAAGCTTATATGCCATAAGAGATTGGTTGTTTTTGTTGACAAAACCAGTACAAACTTCACATAATGTTCTGCCAGGCCAAGTCTGAGGCTCAGGTTTCTCCTCATTAAAGACTTAGCCCCACTGTGTGTGTGTTTTTTGGTTAGGAGCCACACAGCTTTGAGGTGATTGGAGTGTGTGCTCCATACATCTATAAACTGTAGTGATGTGCATGTGAGGAGCTCTGGTAGCGGAGTTACAAACTGGGCTGCTAACCTCACGGTCAGCGGTTCAAAACTACCAGCTGTTCCACAGGAGAAAGATGAGGCTTTCTGCTCCCATAGAGATTTATAGCCTCAGAAACCCTGTGCATGGTCACTGAGTCAGAACTGACTCCACGGCACATAACCACCACCAATGTGGATGTACTAATAGAACATAGATGTTTTGATACAATGTGCTGTTCTTTTAGAAATGTCTTCCATCCTATCCTCTCAAAACCAGCTTTCTCAAATGTCTTCTCTTCCTCTCTCTGTTCTCCACTAAACAAGTTAAAAAGGATTCTTCCCTAATATAAATGGCTGTGATAAAATAAGTTTCAATGTTAAAAGATAATATTTTCTAGTGGCCACCACTTTAGTTGGCTAAGAGAAAGGGAGTCTAAGCACATGAATTCTTCCATTTTCAAAGGTGGGTTTGTTTGTGTTTTCTCAAAGAAGAATTGTTGGTTTTCAGTATGTAAATGAAATAACCACTCATGTAGTATATGCAAAACATAGAGGATTTATTTTCCAAATAATAATGAACAGGGGATAGTTTGATTAGTTTTTTTTTAATGCTTTTAAAATCAAGTGTATTTTATTTTCTAAGATGGTTATTTCTAGTTTACTAGTGAATGCTCATTTGGCCTCATACACAGTATTTCCAGAAGCATTCAGAGGGAATCCCATGTTTCTTATACTGTTTCCTGGTTCCAGCCAAAAGGTGACTCAGTAAAACCTTCAGGTCTTGTTCAGAGAAAGCCTGAAACCAAAACAATACAAACAAAAACTATATAAGTTAATGAACTAAGACAGGCAAGTTTAATCAAGATGAAACTAGTGGTCATCAAGTTGACTCTGACTCCTGGTGATCCCATATGTGTCAGAACAGAATTGTCTTCTACAGTTTTCATTGATTTTTTGGAAGTAGATAACCAGGCTGTTCTTCCAAGGTGCCTTTGAATGGATTTGAGTGGTTTGTAAGACTAATATAACCACAAAGCCCTTTGTTGTTAAGTGCCATCGAGTCAGTTCTGACTCATAGCAACCCTGTATAGGGTTTCCAAGAAGCTCTGGTGAGCTTGAACCACTGACCTTGAGGTTCAAAGGATTTAGCACATTAACCCACAGTGCCACACCAGTACTCCAACCCTTTAGGGACCACTAATTTTAACTTTTCTGAAGGTTGATAAGTCTTTAAGCATTTAAAGATCCCAGTGTGGCACTGTGGATTAATGCACTGGACAGCAAAGTCAGTTTGAACCATAAAGTGGGCAGTTTGGGCTCACCAGCTGCTCCTCAGAAACCATATACAGGGTCACTATGAAGTGGGAACCCACTCAATGGCACTTAGCAAAAATGTGCAGGATAATGCACCGGACCCCACCGTCAGTTTGAACCACAGGGTTGGCAGTTCAAACCCACCATCCACTCCTCGGAAACCCTATACAGTGTCGCTATGAGTCGAAACTGACTCAACAGTGCTTAGCAACAAGATTAATTATACCAGGAGTTCTGGTGGGACAATAGTTAAGTGCTCAGTTGCTAACTGAAAGGTCAGCGGTTGGAACCCACCAGCCACTCTGAAAGAGAAGTCTGTGGCAGTGTGTGTAAAGATTTATAGCCTAGAAAATCTGACGGGTAGTTGTATTCTGTCCTCTAGGGTCACTCTGAATTAGAATTGACCCAGTGGCAATGGGTTATTGTATAGGAATCCCAGGGTGGTACAAATGGTGAATGCACTGGCTGCTAACTGAAAGTTCGGAGATTCAGATCCACCCAGTAGCACTTTGAAACAAAGGCTTGGCAATCTGCTTCTGAAAAACCAGCCATTGAAAACTCTGGAGCACACCTGACACATGGGGGTCACCATGAGTCAGAATCAACAGCAACTGTTTTGGGTTTTTTTGTTTTTTGTTTGGTTTGAGTTTTTTTCATTGCACACCATTTCAAATCCTTTGATTTCATCATTGGTCATTCCCATCACAGTTTTTCTACTATACCCCAAGAGACCTGGGTGTTCTGCTTTCTAACGCACATATTCCTCCTCAGTGCTTTCAGCATTCCATCCTTCCACTGTATTTAGACTGCAGTGCTTTTTTAGCCACCTTGGGATCTTGTTAAAATGCAAATTTTGATCCGCAAAGGTTCTAGATAATACCAATCCAGCTGGCCCATGAATACATGTTGAAATAATGAAACAGCACAAATGGATTACAGACTTGAAAGCAGGGTCCTTATCTATTTTTTATTCTCTTACAACTTGTAATAATTTACACAAAATAGGTACTAGATAGCTGCTTCATGCATTAAGATTTTGCACGAATCAAAATTTGGAAAAATTAAGGTTTTAAAATAAGATCAATTGGCCCATTATTTAAGGTATGATTTCCACCAAGAACATTCATGCCAAGAGTACGCTTGCCAAGAACACTCTTAAGTTCATGAATTTAGAATACTCTTAAATTGGGTATTGAATGTTCAGCTTTTTAAACCTAATTTTCATAAATTGAGTCACTTACGTTTCTGGGAGTTCCTCTTGGGTTGAAAGTGTTGGTACTAGGATCTGGAAAATAATATTTTAAAAACGGATTCAGTTTCCATTCTATTTCTGTTTTATGTTTGTTTCATTTAAAACACACAGAGTGAAGTACTACTAAATTATGCCTAGTGTCTGCTCTCCCTGTTGTTCATACTCTAGCTATATGTATTTCCATGTAGGTAGGTACCCTTGTTTGTATCTAATGGAATTCACAAAGGCACCACCTTCCTAAGTTATCAATATATTCTATAACAAATGAATGCTCTTCTATTAAAGTGTCCATTGAAATGCTCCATTATGCTTCCAGAACCGTGAGCATGTGTACCACGGTTTGGAAGTAGACAGTCATGGGGAAAATGGTAACGCTGACACTTGGTTCATTGCTTTCTGTGTGAGCATCTTACGAGCATTTTCTCATTGACCCTCACAGTATGATGTGGGTGCTTTTTATCACTTGTGTTTTTTGATTAAGAAACTGAGGTACAGAAAGATCAAGTCAATTCCTTAGGATGTTGGTGAGGACACAGCATTTAAAACTTTGCTCTAGGAACTGGGATAATATCATCCCCCCAAATAAAAATCCATATGGAAAAAAAATATGTCTGTGTGCTGAGGTACCTGGTAGAGTATGACATTCACAAAGAATCACCGAGAAAAGAAAACAGACACTGCAGAGGGAGCCTAGGAACCAGGAGGGGAGGGAGTTGGATAATTCATGTATATAGTCCATCTTTATCTTCCAAGATTGGGGTGTTTCCTCACTTGGTAGATGGGAATAGAGGGTAAATTCAATACAATCAAATCAGACAACCTACCAACACCAGAATCAACTTTACCTGCTTCCCCAAGACCATTGCCTCTCTGTGCACTCAGCATCTCTGGCCTCATCCGCAGAAGGGAAGCTCTTTCCAGCATATCTAGAGTCAATCTTGAATCTTCACCAGCTGTTCCACAGATGAACATATATAAGTAACTCAGTTCAGTCTTTATTCTGCTATTTATGTTCCCTGCTGTCTTTAGGGATGGGGTACCAAGGACTGTGTGGGAATACAAGAAATCCTTCGCATGCTGAATTCCTGATTTGCCAGTGGTATTTCAACAGGGGGGAATGTGACAAATCAGAGTGCCGGTCAGTGAAATGGAAAGTCAGGAGAATGGAGCTCATGGTAATTCTTAACTGCCCGTGGGACCTTGCTGAGCCTTGACAATGGGGACAGCAGTGCCAGAGCGTCTCTAAAAACCATTTCAGCTTGAAAACCATAATTCTGCTGGCTGACTGCTGCCTATTGCCTTTTGCTCTTCAATATTTGGTGGTGAAACGAGTGAGAGGAAACATAAGGGTGTGGTTTTCTTAAAGAAGATGGTTTGTGTTCGTCTTGTAAAGCAAATAGGATGGTATCACCTCTTACTGAATTTCAAGAGTTAGATACAAATACTATTACTAAGAAAAGAATATGCTGTAAAGTAATCTTTAAGGAATTTGAGAAATTTGGTGGGCTAAGTGGCACATTGGAGTCCTGGTATGCCGCTGCAGGATAATGTGCTGGACTGCAGGGTCGGTTTGAACCGCAAGATGAGTGGTTCAAACTCACTGGCTGCTCCTTGGAAACCCTGTACAGGGTGACTATGAGTTGGAACCGACTCCACAGCACTTAACAACAACAAAGTGGCATATAAGGTAAACATGTAATAATCCTGTGAAATATTTTAAGTTCCTGTAAGGTAGATGGTATTTAAAGTTCCTATTAAATGCGTGTAACTCATTGCCATCGAGTCTCTCCTGATTCATAGCGACCTACAGGACAGAGTAGAACTGCCGCATAGGTTTCCCAAAGCAGTAAGTATACAGAAGCACACTGCCACGTCTTTCTTCTATGGAGCAGCTAGTGGGTTGAACCGCCAGCCTTTTGGTTAGCAGCCAAGTGCTTAACCATTGTGTTCCCAGGGCTCCTTAGTGCATGTAAGGTGTACAGTAAATGTATCTAAGGTGTGTGGTAAGTGAACTTGGCCAGTACTGTTCTGTTAGGTTTGGAAGCCCTGTGAGTCAGGATAGGAGACCACGTAAAATGCTAACATGCCACAGCCTTACAAATACTTAGTGACAACTTTGATTTCAAGACTGAGCAAACCATGATAAAGGGTCTGAGTACACTCGCAGTAGTTCAGAGGAATGTAAATGAAAATTGATTAAATGTGACCATTTTTGAGTGTTTGTATCCTGAAGGATCTTAGATAGAGAAACAAATGTGTGAGAGAAACATTCTGGCAAAAATTTGAAGGTGAGTGGCAACCTGTGTTAGAATTTGAGTGAGGTGGTGGTGGTGGTGGTGGTGCTATGCCATGTGCTTATTTCACATAAACCTCTTTTATTTAAATCATAACAGTGATATGTAAAGATGGCAATAATGTCTGAATATTCACTCATGGTTTCATCTTGTGTTTTTCCCTGTTCCTTTGTAAATAGCAGAGATTCAGTAAAGGTAATGCTTGATTTTGACCATTCATTTAGCTTCATTTATGAGCTCAGGGACCCTTGATAGTTTAGAAGTGATGAAATTGATAGTTTAGAAATGATGAACAGTTACCAGAAGCCTGTTTGGAGAAGTTATTAAAGAATAGAATGTTAAAATCAATGGCTTAGAAGAGTTTTTCTCTGTGTTTTAAAAAAAAGAAGTCTAAAATTAAAGATAAGGTAAAATCCAGTTCAATTTATTTTCATAAAAATGGATGCCTAAACATTAACCTCTTCATTTTTTAAAACTAAATCAAGAGGTATCAGCAAAATGAGTATCTACTTGGCTAATACATTAAAAAAATAAATCCAACATAGACTTGAACTGAATGAAACATAAATCAAAAAGAAAAGATGAATGTCCTTGGATATCTGTGATATCCCTAGATCCAGCTTTTTGTATTTTGTTTTTTTACTTTTTAATGAACATTTTTTTGTCTCATATACTGTATCAGCTGATTATTCTTTATCTTAAAATAACCTTTTAATTATTAACCTACAATAGGAACAACCAACCCTACACTTTTAACAGTTCATTTAAAATAAAAACTAAAAATAATGGTATTTTAAATTTAGTACTATTAAAAATAATCTTAATTGACCAAAAAAGTTGTTTTATAGAGATATTATATAACCAGCTACCTTCCTGTGTACACATTTCAGTTGGAGGGGAAACAAAAACCACTGTGTCCATTGCTGAGTCTAGAATGTGCAATGAGGAACCTGTTGTCATCCTTTCCATAGCTGGAATTACAAATACACAAAGACTTTTTAAAACAAGAATGCCCATTCATTTTTGTAAATGCTGTTGCAAGAATATCTGTAACACAACACTTGACAGTCTGGAATTCCCATTGTTATCTCTCACATTACATTCAAGACCCTTGACCCTTTCAAGAGTAACCAGAGAGAAGAAATTCATCTTACCTGAGAGCTGAGGGGACATGTCGCTGGAGTCAGTGACAGGAAGAGATAAGAGAGGATTTAAAAACCCTATGAAAAGCAAGCAGGAGGCCAGCTTATACATGACTGGAACAAGATGTAAGTCTTCTCTTGTCCAGAAGTTGCAACTCGTTCCTTCTTGCTCTGAGATCACTGATTATATATTATCCTGTGACCTCATAAATATCATCACCCTTAAAAAATAAAATTTATTGGCTATGGAGGCTAAAAGGCAATCACTTTGCATTGATGTAATTTTTTTCAGTGTAACAATTCATACACAATCAATTTACTGTCTCATTGCCTGGAGTACAAAGTTGGTATTGCATAAAGAAAGAACAGTTCAGTTTATAAATCTGGCATACGAAGTAACTTCCAGCCATAAATCGTAAGTTAAAGGACGGGATGGACATTAGTTGAAGTGGCCGAGGCAGACGTGGATTTATGAGGCCTCACAGAACTGGCTCAGACCGTGACATGAAATAGGCGGTGCTTTCTTCCTTTTTAATCTGTTAGGAGGTGAATGGATGAATTGACATGTTGTGTTTGGGACTGCCATGCCAGAAGAATTACAACCTGGTGATTAACACTTGAAACCAATCATTTTCTGTAAAATAGTGAAGAATACTTTATAATAGTGCCATTGCAATGCAGAGCTCACATGCCGGCAGATTCTGTGACTACCTTAGCCTCAGGTGAGATTACAATCACCATGTTGATGTTAGCTGCCATCAGCCCCAGATGCATCATGCGCACTTAATATAATGCAGCCTCATCCAGTGCCATCCCCACGATCAGTTGCAGATCAGACTTAAGATTGTAGGGTGTTCACTGGCAACTTTTTAGCAGTAGATCACCAGGTCTTTCTTCCTAGTCCATCTTAGTTTGAAAACTGCTGACACCCATTTGGTATCATGGCAACACACAAGCCTAACACCTGACAGGTGGTTGCCATGCTTGAGGTGCATTCGCTGGGAATCGAACCCAGGTCTCCCACATGGGAGGTGAGAATTCTACCACTGGACCACCAGTGCCTCATGAGAAAAGCAGTAGCTTTCCTTGAAGTTTGATATTGTCCCTCAAGGAGAAATGAAGAACATCGCTGGAAACCTTGCTGTTAAATTTATAGAATTTGACCACATTCATCAGCTCCTCTCTACCCAGCCTGGTCAACACTAGATTTTTGCACCTGTCTCTGAAAGCAACGTCCTTGAGTCCATATTTTGTTCCTCCATAGTCTCAACACGGGAGACCAACAAGGTAAGTAATCCAAACTGACCAGCGGTTCCTTGGAAGTCCTATACCAACCCAATGACACTTAATAGCAATAGTCTCAACACAACAATGTAATGCTTCTAGAACATAAGTCGTATCATGCTACTAATTTTTTCACCACCCTCTGTTGATCTACACATCAAAGTTAAAACTATAAGATTACTAAGACAAAAAATTTTTTTAACTGGACCTCTGATGTATTGGATGGGAATGCAAGGTGTCCAATCTCTCTAGAAATCCAATTTGAAACTTCCTTATCAAGCAAAGCATATACTTACCCTACAACCCAGAAATCATACTCATAGAAGCAAAATGAGAACATGTCCACACAAAGATGTGTATATAGATTAAAAAAATAATAATAGTGAAAACTAGAAACAACCCAAATCCTCATCAACAGGTGGATGGATAAATCAATTGAGTTATATCAGACTCAGAATAAAAAGACAAACAACTGATACAGTGAATCTCAAAAACTTGATATTGAGCAAAGTAAGCCAGTCCGAACAGAACATGGGAACACTGAATGTTTTAAAATTGGGAAAGGTGTGAAACAGGGTTGTATTCTTTCAACGTACTTATTCAACCTGTATGCTGAGCAAATAATACGAGAAGCTGGGTTCTATGAAGAAAAACGTGACGTCAGGATTGGAGGAAGACTCATTAACAACCTGCAATATGCAGATGATACAACCTTGATAGCTGAAAGTGAAGAGGACTTGAAACATTTACTTATGAAGATCAAAGAGCACAGTCTTCGATATGGATTACATCTCAATGTCAAGAAAACAAAAATCCTCACCACTGGACCAATAAACAACATTCTTATCAATGGAGAAAAGATTGAAGTTGTCAAGGACTTCATTCTTCTTGGATCAACTATCAACACTCACGGAAGTAGCAGTCAAGAGATCAGATGACGTATTGCACTGGGCAAATCTGCTGCACAGGAACTTTTTAAAGTATTGAAGAGCAGAGATGTCAGCTTGAGGACTAAGGTATGCCTGACCCAGGCCATTGTGTTTTCAGTAGCCTCATATGGATGCGAAAGCTGGACAGTGAATAAGGAAGATCGTAGAAGAATTGATGCCTTTGAGTTGTGGTGTTGGAGGAGAATACTGAAAGTGCCATGGACTGCCAAAAGAACCAATAGATCTGTTTTGGAAGAAGTGCAGCCAGAGTGCTTCTTGGAGGCCAGGATGGCTAAGCTTCGTCTCCCATACTTTGGACATATTGTCCGGAGGAAACAATCGTTGGAGAAGGATGTCATGCTGGGTAAGGTGGAGGGTCAGAGAAAAAGAGGAAGACCTCTAACGAGATGGATTGGCCAGGTGGCATCATTGATGGACTCAAGTGTGGCAGCGGTAGTGAGGTTGGCCCAGGACGGACATTGTTTTGTTCTGCTGTACATGGGGTCGCTATGAGTCGGTTCCGACTCGATGGCACCTGACAACAACAACAAGCCAGTCCAGAAGAGCACGTACTGCATGGTTCCCTTGAGTGGAATTCTTGAAACGACAATATGAGTACACTGCCACAAAAAACCAATTCAGTGACTGCCTGGGGCTCCAGATGAAAGGTGAAGGGAAATTGGGAATAATAGAAATGTTTTCCATTGAAGCTGTCAAGAATTTCATCTTACTGGGATCCACAATCATTGACCCAGGGAAGCAGCAGTCAAAAAATCAAATGGCATATTTCATTGGGTAAATCTCCTTGAAAAGAACTCTTCAAAGTGTTAACGAGCAAAAAACGTTATTTTGAAGACTAAGGTGTGCCTAACCTAAACCATGGTATTTCCAGTTGCTCCCTATACTTGTGAAAGCTGGATAATGTTTAAGAAAGAGAGGCGAAGAATTGATGCATTTGAAGTATGGTGTTGGTGAAGAATATTGAATATACGATGGTCTGTCAGAAGAAGGAACAAATCTGTCTTAGAAGAAGTACGGTCAAATGCTCCTTAGTAGTAAGCATGAGGAGACTTTGTCTCTCACTTTGGACTTGTTATGAGGGACTAGGCCATAGAAAAGGACATCATGTTTGGTAAAATAGTGAGGAAGTGAAAAAGAGGAAGACCGTCAATGAGATAGGTTGACACGGTGGCAGCAAGCGTGGGCTTAAACATGACAACAATTGTGAGGCTGGTGCAGGACTGAGCAATGTTTCCTTCTGTTGTACATAGGGTTGCTAGCATCAGAACTGACTCAATGGCACCTAACTACAGGAATGGCCTACATTTTGACGGAAGCAATTGTGGTTTTTGGATCAAATTCATCAAACCATACAGGGTTTCTGAGGAGTGGTTGGTGAGCTTGAACCACTGACTTTGCATGAACTCACAGTACCACACCAGGATGCCTTTAAAACACATTATAGTGTATTTTTTGTAGATTGTAGACACTCCATAAACATTTGTTGAAACAGTGAATGGGACACAGGTCATCTGCCAGAGGGAAAGAGCAGTGAACAAAAGCAAACCCACTGCTCTCATGCAACTTTCTAACTGGAGGAGACAGAGAAAAAGTGAACACATGGCATCTGACAAGTACTGATGAGGAGGAATCAGAGTAAGAAGACAGTGTGGGTGGGTGGGTGGCTGTTCATTGGCATGAAATCAGTTCTGACTCCCAGTGACCCTAGTAAAACAGGACAAGACACTGCCTGGTTCTGCACCTTTCTCTCATTCTCTCAATCCCTGCTGCTGTGTTTCACCTCATGGCTACGGCCACTGTGTCCCTCCGTCTGGTTGAGGTGTTCTCCTCTTTTCTACTGACCCTTGACCAAGCATGATGTTCTCCAAGAGGAGTTGTTACTTCAGGTAGGGCCATCAAGGGGCGCCTCTGGAAAGACGACATTTGATCTGAGACCCTCATGAGGTGGAGAGCAGTAAGTTCAAAGGTCAGTGAAATCAAGGACCAATGGCCTGTGAAGTTGAAGGGAACTAAGAATACTCCAGAAGCCAAAGGAAGAAGTGAAGACAGATAGGGACTGTTTGGAACCCATCTGCTGAGAGATGGAGGGAATGCCCGAAGCTGGGCTGCGGGAACTGAGCTCATGGACCTGATCAGTGATCCTGAGAAGGGGGTTTCAATGGAGTGTGGAGTGGTGATGGTGTAAGGGAGTAATTTTTTAAACCTCATTGACTGGGCATCTTTCAACAACTCTTCTGTGCCAGCCAAAGGTCCCTGAGTGGTGCAAAGGATTCAACAGCACTTAACAACAACAACTGACTGACTGAAAGGTTGGCGGCACCTCAGAAGAAAGGCCTGGCAATTTACTTTTGAAAGGTCACAGCCACTAAAACCACAATGATCAGTTCTACTCTGGACACCTGGAATCTCTGTGAGTCCGAACTGGGTCCGCAGCAGTGGGTTTTTTGTTGTCTGTACAACAGAGAATGTGATGTTCAAATGGGTCTACAGAAACCCACTTTGATCCAGCTTAAGGAGAAAAGTTGTAAAGACACTGGATAGCATCCAAAATCCAAGTAAATGCGGAACCTTAGGAACCAGAGCCCCATGGAAATTCTCTCTGTTGCTTTCAGGTTTCTTATTTCTCACTTGTTGTCTCTCTAACTATATATATATATATGTATATATATATATATCCTGTTGCTGAAGAGTTGATTCCAGCCTATGACTCTATATAACAGAGTACAACTGCCCCATATGGTTTCGAAGGCTGTGATCTTTATGGAAACAGATGGCCACTTCTTTCTCTAGTGGAGTGGCTGGTGGGTTAGCAGCCCATGGTTTCATCTGTGTCACGGCTTCATTCTGTCTCTATATTTCTTTTCTTTCTCTTTTTGGC